TAATTATTAATATATTAATATTATTTGTCCAAACCTAATTACGAAGCATGATTCTTCGCCAAATAGGATTTCGAAGCACCAGAAGCAGCCAAGTAGGCTCAGCGCATTCTGGATATATATATATATATATATATATATTCAAACTATTTAAAGTTTTTTGTAAATAAATATTACTAATAGAGAAAATTTCGTAGTCGTGATTTTTGACTTTTCAACAATATCTTTATTTTTCCAAAATGAAAATACCAATTATTTTCTAATAAAAAATAAAAAGACTAGTTGTTCCTTCATTATATGCCAAGATTAAAAGGGATAGATAGAACTAATTACTTTTTCCATAATCTTTGTATTTATTTAAATTTATTTACTAAAAAATATTTGAATTCACAATTTTGTAATTATGCACTGCTCAATAATCAATAAATGATTTTCCGTTATCTATAAAAATTATTGGTTGGTAAGCATTTAATCTATATATAAATTTTAAATATTTACGATAAATGATATATTGATTTTTTAATTAAACAATTATTATTAGAATAGAAAAAATATAAAAAAAAATAAAAAAAAAAATTATTCACGACCGTTGTGTTAGCTGTCGAATAAACTAATAGTTCCATGTAATTTTGATAAAGAATAAATGTATCTTAAATAGAACAAATAATACTCATACAAAATGTTTATTAGAATTTTAGATAATATTACAAATTCCTTTACTTTCTTATTAATTATTTGTATTTTTTATTTCACAAAACAACTATAATTTTTGTTTCTTTTTTAGTTATTATTATTATTATTATTATTATTATTATTATTATTATTATTATTATTATTATTATTATTATTATTATGTCAAAAACACCTGTGTAATTATTCTCAACTTGTATCATACAATACCAGTATTGCCCTACACCAATTATAGGCAAAATTACGCCTAATATCATGACTTTTATCGAGATTTCAAACTAATCACAAACTTTTCACTTTTGCACACTATATTACGCTCTTTAATTTTTTGCAAAACGATACATGGTTTTAACTACCAGCCCTAGCAAAGCTGACGTGGCACTCAAATTGCCACCACACCTGCTGAGTAGTAATTACCACTCGATTTTTATTCCACCTTAGACTAAGACGACGTCGTTTCGTCTCACTTTTTAGGTTTTTTTTCAAGTCCTAGTGCTTGACAAGCGTAAGCACGGAGAGCACAAACGGGTTGCTTAAACAGGGTTATCACAAGTGTCTATATCAAGCTCTTAACAAGACTCGAACTTATGGAATCTAAGGTCGCGGGCTAGTCTGAAAAGGGTGAATTATTACTCAGGTCAGTGAAAAGTGACGACTTTGGAGCAATTACAAAGAAATCAACACTTTTTTTCAGCAGATAGCAAGAGGACGACATTGTATTGTAGACGAAAGATGAAATTTGGCAGCGGTGAGGGTTTCTATGGACATAGGCAAAAATTCTGAAGATGAGGGTGCAGAGAACGAGGAGACCAAATAGAATGAGAAAAAGGCAAGTCTGTAATGGAGCGGGTCGTAATTGTAGAAGAGTTGAAGGTACTGTGATTGGTCTTCTTGTTCTTGTTCGTGTCCGGAGATGGAGGCGATGGGCGGCTCAAGCAGCGGATTATATTATGGAGATAAGAATGTCTAGTATCTTTAATCTAATTATTTGTCCCTCTTTATTATTATTATTATTATTATTATTATTATTATTATTATTATTGTTATTATATTATTATTATTATTATTATTATTATTATTATTATTATTATTATTGATATTATAGATTTGTTATGAAACTTATTTATTTATCACTTTGTTAGGATTTTTGTCTTGTTAGACAAGTTAGTATTGTTAGGATTCTTCTCTTGTTGGACAAGTTAGTATTAGGGTTTTGTGAGTCTTATTTAAAGGACTTCTCCTCTGTTGTTTTATTCAGTTGATTATTGAAATGAATAATATTAAATATTGTGAGTTTTGCATGTTTTACGAGAGAGTATCTCGTTTATTTGTTTATCCTTCCCACTCGTACGCTTACCCTATATCACTTGGTATCAGAAGTCAGCACGATTCACGATGTTGTCGCGAAGACAAGATGCTGCAAACGACAGACGTGTTGCCGCCATCTACAACCTGAACCGCCGGACCGAGTGGTTTGGCCGCCAGCTCAAAATGGGTTGTCATATTGCAGATCTGCCCGTGGAGATCAGAGATGTACGTCTAACTATCCGTACCATGGTTCGGGACAAGCAAACGAACCGAGACTTGGCCAGCCGGGGCGGCCGCGGGGGTTATTGCGGAAGTCGTGGAGGAAGAGGGCCTGGCAGGGCGCCCCGTCAGCGTACGCCACCACCGATGCACGGCGAGGACGACGACGAGGAAACGTTGTCGGAGATCAACCCCTTCAGTTTCTGACAGGCGCAGCAAGACGACGATCGGCGTTGGAAGTCATCGTTCCAAGTCGAAATCCTCGAACTTTCAGGGGCCTTTGTGGACGCACGAGGGTCGACCGTTGCGGTTTGGAGATTGTGGACTTGGCGTAATGAGCGCATCTTC